TATCTATCTACCATTTATCTATCATCTATCTATCTATCTATCTACCTATCTTCTAGTTATCTATTTATATTTCTATCTAGAAATCTTCACACTACATGAAAATATTCCTTAAAAAATAAACACATTTTTTTCAAAGACCAGGGGATGAAAGTTAACTCTTGATTATTTCCTATGTGCTTGTCCAGTTCTTAAGTTACCTGAGCCTTCTCTGCTCTCCTGTGGTTCCAGTTCATAACCCTCTTACCCAAGGTGGGCAGGGTAAGGAGAAAGGTGCTGAAGTTCAAATCAGTTCTTTCTGCTCCCTGTCATCTCAGCTGAGGATAGTACAGCCCTGCAGTTCACAGCCTGGTGTGGAGCACCTACAGGTGATTTCCTGGACTTGGTGCTGATATCATGTCAACACTTTAGGATGCTGACCATGGCCTTGCTTAGCCAAGTTATTTTCATTTGCTTCTTTAAATATCCATCATAAATCAATTTGCCTATTCTGCTCTTTTTCTTTTCTTCTTAAGTGGAAGATGAATTAAAGGATAGAATTTCTTACCACCCCAACATAAAACTAAAGCCAGAGGAGAACAAGACTTAAAAGCTAGGATTTCAGATGACTAGGACTCTCTTCTCATCAACAGATCCTATTCATTTTAAGCACATGTTGGAACCAAATAGTGAAAACCACCAAAGTGCACATTAATAAAATGTCGGTGGACCCACAGTGGCACAGTAATGACCAAATAGAGTGAGATCCTAAGTCCCTGACAGGCAGAATGTGATGAAATCTGTTTCAGATATTTCCTACATGTCAGGTTTTGCCAGTGGAGAGAAGGAATAAAAACGAAATAAAAGACTGGTACTGCGGAGCTGCTAATTAAAACAATTCAGAGAACATAAATGCTCGAGTAATTTTGGACCCGCCATATCAGGCTGCTTTCAATGCAAATGTAGTGTTCCGATTTCTCCCTTCATTGGGAAGATGTAATTGGCTCAGCTGCAGCAGGGTGGAAGCCTGGAGGCAGCCGCTTCCTGGTGCTGCCAGCTCCTCCATGATGGAGGAACAGCTGCCACCCGCCTCTCCCGCCACTGACTGCGCAGAGCCGTGGCCACCCCACAAGGCTGCTCACAAGCCACCACGAGCAGAAGGCTCAGGCTGCCACTGGAACTGGTTCTTGCTTAAAGATAAGGAACATGTTTCTCCTCAATCTAGTTGACTCTGGGCCCAATCACTGCCCTTCCACAGAATACAGCCTTGGTTAACACAAAAATTCTCCCTCATGACCACGGCAGAAGGGATTTTTAAGAGCGGTGATGACAGCCCACATCAGCTATAGCAGCTCTGCACCGTGGGGTTTGACGCAAGCTTTTGGAGAGGATAGGAAGAGAACAATGAGGAAAAACTTAGCTAAGGTGCTGGCAAATGAGAAACCCGAACTGTAAGGAGAACACATTCCCCAGCTGCTGTAACAGGGAAGATGAAGAGACACCATGGAGGGGAAGGGTTTAACGCTAAGCCTATACATGATCCGACAGGTGGATAACTAACGTGAAAGCAAGAGTGTGCGGGGAAACGGCTACTGCAAGGTGCACTGGAGTTCACCTGCAAACACAGCAACGGTTTCTGCTTGTCCATCAGGCAAGTCAACAGAATGGACCCCACTGATAAGTTTTTGATCTTTTAATAAGCAAAAATATTCCACAAACGAGTTCTATGATGACAAAAATTTTCATGGAACCAAAAAGTGGACAATCATTTTCAGATTTTAGGGAAGGCAAAATAAAAGTCATCATTTCTTTGTTTTCCAAGGCTACTACCAAATTGTCAGGTCTTTCATCCATCACCCACTTTCCTAGCCCCTGCTGCCCATTCCACCTATAACAGAGGTTGACATAAGGCTGGTTCTTTTTCCTCATCCTCAGTGGGAACAACAACCAACCAAGTGAACACACAAACACTGCAGCTGCAACTGAGCAGTGACCGTGAGGAGGGGGTTAAATAAATATGGCATCTGAAGCACATTTGTTAATGACTGTGATAGTTCCAACAACATTTAACAAATAAAGGAACTGGGAATCATTATTTCCTCCAATCAATTCAGAGGAAAGTACTTCAGGAAAAAATGGAGAATTTTTTTTAGCAAATGATAAGAAAATATGGTAAATGACAAATGAAAGTGTTTTTATAATGTTTAAATGACCAAGACTAACTTATGTTCATAATGATGGTGACTATTTTGCTAGTATTTTCCTTTTCAGGCTTTTTAAAATTTGGATATAATTTATTTACCACAACATTTACCCTTTTAAAGTAAACAATTCAGTGGTTTTTAGTATAGTTACAAATATACTAAATAACTATCACCACTATACAATTCTAGAACATTTTCATCACTCCAAAAAGAAACTCCATAACCATTACTAGTCGCTCATCATTCTCCACTCCCCTAGCACTAGGCAACCACTAATCTACTGTCTGTCTCCATGGATTTGCCTATCTGGACATTTCATAAAAATGGGATCATATAATATGTGAACTATTGAGTCTGGCTTCTTTCACTTACCATAATGTTTTCAAGGTTCATCAATGTTGTAGCACAAATCAGTACTTCATTCCTTTTTATTGATGAATAATTTTCCATTATATAGATTACTACATTTTGTTTATCCATAAATCAGTTGATGGACATTTAAGTTGTTTCCATTTTTTAGCTATTACGAATAATGCTCTCATGAACAATCACATACAAGTTTTTTATTTGAACGTATGGTTTTCTCTTGGGTATATACCTAGGAGTGGGATTGCTGGTTATATGGTGACTCCGTGTTGAACATTTTTGGGGAACTGTCAAACTGTTATCCAAAGCAGCCACACCACTTTGCATTCCCATCAGCAGTTTATGAGGGTTCCAGTTTCTCCACATCCTGGTTAACACTGGTTATTGTCTGTCTTTTTATTACAGCCATCCCAGTGGGTGTGGAGTGTTAATCTCTTTGTAGCTTTGATTTACATTTCCCGGGTGACTAATGACGTTGAGCATCTTTTCATGTGCTATTGGCCATTTGTATATCTTCTTTGGAGACACCTCTACTTAAATGTCTTGCCTATTTTTTAATTGGGTGATTTATCTTCCTATTGTTGAACTTTTCAGTGTTTTTCCTCTGATTTATTTTTCTAGAGATTGTGGAAGAGGACGTTGGGTTCCACCTAGTTCATCTTGGCTTTGGGAATGAATCATAACTTTATCAATTTGGATAATGATAAGTTTGAAAACATTTTTTGAGCACATATTTTGTGTCAGGCCCTCTGAAACCTTTATTAACTTACTGCTAAAGAGGAAGCTGTTGCTTGGGCCACATGTTTCTCCCTTAGATGCTCATCAAGATCAGCAAAGGTTTCCTTTGAGAAGCACCCATGTGTTTCTTTGTCTCCTGAGACAGGGAGACACCCCCACCTCCTGCCCAGGCAGCAGAGCTAACAGAGGAGATGCACCCATTGGTAGGTAAAATCTTTCTCCACATCTTAGACGTCTAGAACAAACGACATTGCTAGAGTCAGGACAGATGCTTTGAAGCTCCATTTTGAACTCTTGAAGTTAAGACTATGCCCACATTTCCTACAAATACACCCAAGAGAACCCTTTTCAATTTGGTCTCCACTCCTTCTTCCCCACAAAATATGGACAGTGCTTATTAAGATGACAAGGGAAAAAACCCCACAAAAAATCTACAGAAGAAGGGATTCATTTTCTTAGACTAATTGCAGCAAAGTTGGCTCAGCTGAGATGCAGAGGTATTGGAGGTGAGTGGGGCTGCAGGAGGGGTCTAGGAAATAAACTGAAAAGCTTCCTCCTCAAAAATAAATTATACAGGGAAGAGCAAAGGGGAGGAGACACATTTTCTTCACTAGCCCTACCCTATTATAAAAGTTAGTCGAGTTACATATTTCATCCTCTTAGGCTCTATACATACAGCATGTTTATTCCTTTTCCTTCCTGTTTTCTTCCTCTCCCATTGAAAGTCAAGCAAAACAACAAGAAAACCAAACTGAGGGTTTGAGGTGGTAGAACACTACCTCAAATCTTCATTTTAGAATATCAGGACTTCAAGGTTTCCAGACGTGTCCCTCTTCTCTCATACCCAAGTTCCAAGATCTCAGTTAACAAATCTAACATGCCAAGGGGGCCAATTCCAGGTAATCAGTGGATCTGAATTCCTGTCTATAACTCTCGCCCTTAGCGCCTCTAATGGGGGAAACTGCCTGGGGTAGAGTGTTCAGGAGCAGGCAGGACAGAACCACTTGCATCTCACCAAGATGGCCACCAGCTAATCCACTTTCAACCAAGAAGGTTCTGTGTGGGAATTTCCAAGGTCTAGTGTACTATTATTTATGTGAACAAGGTCATCTTAGGTCAAACCTCAAACAAAGGCAGCAGGCATAATTTCACAGAATCAAATCCAAACCTCGAAATCCTTTAACCTCGTGCCCAACAGGAATTCTCCCAAGCCCTTGGGTTCCCCTGGCAGAATTGTCTTGGAGATATGATACACTGCTCTAGAGAACCATGGAAAGAGCAGGATAAGTCTTATGGGCTGAATTGTGTTCCTCCCAAATTCATGTGTTGAAGCTTTAACCCCCAGCACCTCAGAATGTGACTGTATTGGGAGTCAGGGCCTTTACAGAGGTGATTAAGTTAAAGTGAGGCCGTTAGGGTGGGCCCGAATCCAGTCTGACTGGTGTCATCATAAGAAGAGGAAAGAGGAAGACCAGGGACGCATGAGTGCACAGAGAAAAGATCACGTGTGGCATAGAGAGAAGGCACCGTCTAGGACCCAAGCAGAAAAGCCTTAGAAGAAATCACCACGCAGTCACCTTGATCACGGACTTCAAGCCTCCAGAACTGTGGGAAAATAAATCTCTGTTGTTTAGCCACGTAGTCTGTGGTATTTTGTTACGGCAGCCTTCGCAAACGAGTGCAAGGAGGGCCTCCCCCCTGGGCGCAGCCACTCACCCTGTAGTAGTCAGTGCTGTACACGTCCCGGGACATCCCGAAGTCCCCGATCTTCACCAGGAGGTTCTCGCCGACCAGGCAGTTGCGAGTGGCCAGGTCTCGGTGCACGAAGTGCTGGGACGCCAGGTAGACCATGCCCGCGGCGATCTGCTGGGCGATGTGCAGCATCTGCGACTGGGTCAGCTCCGCCGGCGGGCTCCCCTCGGCCATGAGCACGGCGTCAGGTCCATGCGCCCTGCGGAGGACGCAGAAGGTTTGCTGGGGCCTCAGCTCTGCCTCGGGGGGCCCTTTGTCCCCCATCAGCGCCTGGTGCTGAAAGGCGCTGCCTGACCTCGCATAAAGAGGAGGGAAAGACGCTTCACCACAGGGGTACCTCTACAGCCTCAGGAGTGCCCGGGCTTCGCTTTCCACAGTCTAGAATTGCCAGGGCCTTGTGGGCCCAAATGATGCCCCCTCAACACACGAGTTTATGTTTTAGGGGCTCGGGAACCATGCTGGGGTCAGGCACCCGCAAGAGCCCCTGACCCTGAGAAGCAGTGGGCGACTGAAGCAAAAAACAAAAACGCGAAACAAAACAGAACATGGAGGGAGAGTGTCACTCTCCTAGAGGGCAAGTCACAGCCCCCAGTGGGAGCCCCCCTCCCCGCAGCCACATGCTGCAGCAGAGCAACCCCACCCAGCCAGTCCCTCCAGAGTGCCCCCACCAGCGCCAGAGCTGGGCAGCCATGGTCTCCTGCACTGCACCTGCTCTGCTGCCGGGCATGGTTTCTAAGCAGCCCTCCTCTCCCTGCAGCCCAAACCAGCACAATCTCAGGGCATCCTCAGCCTGAACATTCATTCCTGGTGAAAAATTCCATCTCCCTCTGCCCTACAGACCCCACCCCCCACCCCCCTCCCCGACTCCACCACCCTCTAGCTTAACACATACCCTGGCCACCACATAGGAGGAGTCTTTGAATAATAACACATTTTTTCTATCACTGGGGCAAGTTTTATTCTTTATGCTATGAAAGGGCGGGAAGTATGATATTTTATATCTTCTTTTTTTTCTGTCTTATACACCCGGCCTTTCCCCAGCTGTGTGACAAATGAAGGCATCTAAACACTGGCATGTGCTTCAGGGAGGGACAGGTCTGAGTTTTGGGATGCCTCCACCAGCGCTGGCAGTCCCCACTCTGGGATCCTGCCAAGACTGGTGTCACTGCCACTGACTGCCTGAGGGGGCGCTGCAGAGCAAGGAGGAAAGGCGTCCTTAGCCGGGAGACTGGACTACGGGGCAGGGGGCAGAGGTTGGGGGGCGGGGGCGTGTCAAAGAGCTTCTCCTCCGGAAAGCAAATAAGGAAGAAGATCCCCTTCAGGACAGTTTGAAGCACTTAACATAAATATAGAGGATTTTAACACCATTTTAAAGTGGGTGACCCCAACCTGCAGAGTTCCAGAACTGTATGAGTATTTGAAAAGGAGAGAGCCAGAATTATCCAAGAACACCCAGCTCTTTCCCCCTCCGCCACCCGCCAGTCCCGCTCAGTTGAGCTTTCTCAAGGTGCAGGTATACCCCTTGCGTCATGGCCACAGCCCACGGTGATCTCCCAAACAGGCTGTCACCAGATCTTTCCTTCCTGTACTGTCAGAGAGCAAGCACTGGACCAGGAGGTGGGGAATTTTCCAGCACCATAATCTGGGGAAGCCTTTCAATTTTTCCAGTCTGTAATTCCCCATTAGTCAAAAATATAAAGGAATATTATGCTAGGTGATCACTTAGGTCCCTTCTATCTCTAAATATCTGGATTTAACGGTTCCTAGGCAGGAAGGAGCTGCCTGTTTTTGCACAAGGCAAGCCCTAACACATTTTACCTCGCAAACCCCAGCCCCTGATGCTTCTTGCCACTGAGGAACAGTCCTGGGAAACACCTTGGGCTCTTTTCAGCTCAGATCTCCTGCTGGAGGTGAGAAGGCTTGTGGAGCAGTGGTCAAGAATCTGGGTAGGTATAGAACTGAATTTGAACCCTGTCCTAACACACTAGCTGTGACCTCAGGTGAGCTACAGAGGTCACCTCCCTGGGCCTGTCTCCACATTCTGCGAAATGGGGGTACTAACTATGCCTTCCTGAGCTCATTGATGTGAGCCTGTACGTTGTGGCCTTTCATCCGAAAGCCAGAGAGAAAGCCTTTGCAAACAAGGTCCTCTTTAAAGAAGAAATTGAAAGGGAACACGAAAACACAACTTATCCCTGGGCGTTTCTTTTTTCAACTGTTTTGTGACAGGCTCTTAGGGCTGGCCCTTCCGACCTCACTAAGGTTGCTCAAGCCCAACCCTTCCCAGCACTAAGGGGGCAGGAGAAAGTGAGAATGTTTTCACTCGTCATAGGAGACAAAGCTCTTACTGTGACCTCAACACCAGGAGAGGGACCTGGGGGAGCGTATAAGCTGTGAGAAATCCCGAAATACTCAGAGACCCTAGGCTGGATGAAATCTTCATAGATTTAGTACAAAGAGTGAAATAAGTTGTTGATTTGCCACAGCCTTATTTCAGCCCCCAAAATCTAGACTCTGTGCATTGCAAAGACTCCAGGGAAGAGGAAAAGTCAGAGGCCAGTACAAAAAGGCCACCTCTGCACAAAACTCCATCCTCTAGCCTTATGCTCTGAGGGCACTAGAAAGCCGGCGGCCCTCCACTGCCTTCTGCACTTGGGGTTATCATGTGTGGGGTGGGGCAGGCTCCTGCATTTTTAACCAGCCGATTCTCCTGCTTGCTTCTGGGTATTTGAACAAGGTTCCTTTTAATGGGAGAAGCCTCTGGATGCTTTTCTTGAGCAGAAAATCCTGCTGTAAAAAGAGGGCAGGCAAGTCTTCTAAACAAGTTCTTGAGAAGAGTATAAATAAGTTAACATAGCAGCCCTCTGCTTCACTCCCGGGTTACCCTCCAGCTCTTGGAAATAAAAACATGTTTCACCTCTTTTAGGAGAACATGTCATAAGAGGGGAGAAAGTACCGTCAGCAGCCTGGCCTGAGGAGCAGAGAGGTTCAGTGGCTTCTGCCAGGGAGGCTGCTCGCCCTTGCTCAGCTTGTTCTCTTCCAGTGTGGGTCACAGCTGGCACTCAGCCACGCTGTTCTGGCTCTGGAATTTCAGCGCACACTACGTTCCCTCTGACTTTTTAACAGCCACCTCAAGAGGAAGCAGTGCAGTGGTTAAGACTACAGGTTTTGCGGCCAGGGGCTGTGGGTTTGAATCTCACCTCTGTTGCTCACTAGCTGTGTGACTCAGTTTCTTCAACTGTAGAATGGGAACAATGGTAATAAGAGTTTATTGAGTTCATACAAGTTAAAATATTTAAAATGCTCAATAAATTGAAAGGTTCAAGAAATATTAGCTGTTATTGCTTGAAAAGGCATTATCTATCTTCCCCTCATTGGAAGGAATTCAGGAGAGATTCTAAGAGGAAAAACTGCAGTCTCCTTGAAAGCAGAGACCATGTTTTACTCCTCATTTCCCAGCCAACCCAGCATAGGGCTTGGCCATATTGGTACTCAAGGTATGACTTCTGGATAAATAGAAGGTTTGGAAGATAATTGCAGACATCTGTCTCTACAGGGCAGTGCCAATGACACTTGGGCACATGTTCATGGCAATCTAAAGGCTGGGTTCCCTTCCAGAAAGAGAGGACAGCACATTATTGGGCCTGAGAACCTGATTCTTGGCATGGAAAACCTCTTGTTCCCAGAGTTCAGCAGATTCTGAAATTGAGCAGTTTCCAATATCTCCATGCCCTGTGCAAGATGCCAGGGGAGAACCAGGTGCCCGCTCCTTCAGAAGGAGGAAGGAGAGCTAGGGAGAGGTTGACAGAGCCCAACGAGAAAGAATTAACACACACACACCCACATGTGCGCGCGCTTCCGTGCATGTGCGTAGTCTGAACACACAAGCATTTAATCACATCCAGGTGAGTACATTTGGATTTACAGTGCTACGGTTTTGGAAACCATTTGTAGTTAGAGAAGTAGCCTAGAGGATGGGAATAAGGAAAAAATGTTTCTCCTATAAGCAGCTAGACCTCAATCAAATTCAGCTTCTTTTCCTCCTTTTACATTAGATCTGACAACACAACGTGCAGAAGCTACCATCTCCCACTCTCCTATCACCTGCAAGAAAAACTTTGCTGACATTGGATAACGCATTATTAGGATGAGTGTCTCCGGACACCGTGAATTGGCTATGTATTCCTAATCGCACCTGGCATTCCCTCACCCACACAATCAAAGGCAAAGCAGAGAACAAGGACCCATGCCAGCAAAGGAGAACTAAATTACACGTATATGCATGAAGCTAGAGACGGTGAACGTGATCGACGCGGTACAAATCATGTGATGACATTTCGAAACACAGCAGTACGCTCTCCACCTTCCACTGTCTCTCAGCGATTATTACTTAAATTGCACACTTTCTGAATCTTCCAGTGGCTGTGTGAAGCTACTGGCGCTGATTTCTGTGGAAAGCCCTCTTCCGTGGCTGCAGAAACTGGAGGAGGACAGAGAGGTCTAGGTGTTGCCAGAACCTGAAAGGTATAACTTCCCAGGATTGTGGATGCCTCAACCAAAATCAAGAGGAAATGTGGCAGGGAAGAAGGGTTGTGGGGACATCTGTCGATTACCTCCCATCACAACAGTCCTAACACTGGTCCTTGATGTGGATATTATTACACCCCTTTTACAAGTAAGGAAACTGAGGCCAGCAAGAGCAGGTGCAAACTGATCACCTGCTCCAACATCTTTCCTGTTTCTCCTAAATTACACTACCCACCAAGATATCACAAGCAGCACATTTGCTAATCTTTCAAAGGTGTAAGGTAACTCTATTTTAAAGAAAACGGCATGTTAGAGCCAGACACAACTTAGAGAGGATCTAACTCAGACCCACATGAGCGTGGAGGTGACCGAGGTGAAGTGGGCTGCAGACCCACCTCAGGGGCATAGCAGCTGATGCAGAATAGAGAGGAGAACTCGGTCTCCTGGCCCTCACTGCTGGGACCAGTTACTCTTAACCATCACGATCTTAAGCGTGTGACTTCGATTCGTGCCTTTGTTTAATGCAGGTACAAGCATCACTGGGTTTCCTTCCCCAAGGAGTTTCTGATCAGTGTGTTTCCTCTCTCCCTTGGTAGATGCAGGATGAGAACATTCACTGTGGGCCCTGACAGGGTGACCACCAGCTCTCTTTGTCTTAGCAAACTCAGCCCTCCTTGTGATTTCTCTGACTGAGGCAGCTGGTTTCCTAGTAGAAATCATTACGAGCAGAATTCAAGCTTATACTTTTTGAAAACTTCCTATTGGCTCCTATGCTAAAAGCTTTGTATCCTTATTCTAATTCAATCCTCATGCCTAACCTGCTGGCTCAATACTATCACCAGAACCTCTAAGAGACTTGCCCAAGGTCACTCAGCTATTAAATAGAGTTGACATTCAACTTCAGCTGTGTCTGGAGGCTAAACATCCTGCCTGTATCATTTTACTGCAATGTCTTTTATTCTGCAATTCAGCCCCTTGTTTCAAAGGAACTTTATCTTTCCTCCCGGATGGATTATCTCCCCCTAAGTCATCTCTCACTCTATCTATCTTGTGGCTCCTCCCTGGCCCCTGTCCCCACCACCAAGGTGAGAACTCACTGCTGAACTAAAACCCATTTAGGCCCACGCTGGAAAACCAAGAGATGCAAACTCTATGTAATAACCCAATGACTCCCGTTTTATAGTTAACATTTCCCCCGCCTTGCCTTGCTTTTCTCTAATGACTCCACTTGTCACAAAGCCCCTCAAGTTGAAGCTGTGCATCTTTTCACGACCTCAGGGTCTCAGTAATTGCCACAATCCTGAGTCTTTAGGGGCCCCACCAAATGCTGTTTTACCTCCTTCCTTCTAGACCTTTTGCTCTTTGGATTCTGTTCTCTTCACTAGATCCTCTGATTTATGGATGTCCTGGTTCTTCTTTCTGTTCTCAGAATAAAGTCCAAACATGACCCTTCCAGCCTTGGCTCCTCCTAGCTCCTTGTCTACCTCGCCTCCCCTTCTGCTGTCTGAAACTCCAGACCCTCCACTCTTTCCTGACCAAACCTGTCATGTGACACCTTGGTGCCCTAGCTTTTACTGTTTTCTTCACTTGAATAATGTTCTTCTCTTATCCACCTTGCAAATTCCTACAGATTCTCTAAGGCCCATCTCAGGTGCACACGTCACATGCCGCTTAACAAATACTCAATAAATACGGGTGGAATTGAGCTGAATCACTAGCATCACATATGCAGAGTTAGTTGATTAAGGAAAAGAGCAGTGCTGTGGCCTCTGTTTCTTTCTCTGCGGCATGTGTTGGCGCCATCACCAGGACAGCCTGTTCCACAGAAAGGCCCAGGGGTCCCTTGACCCTTCCCAGGAGCTCCTGTCCTCACCCTCAGGCTGTGTGGACCATGCAGGCCTGCTCCCTCCTCGAGCCCGCCTCCCTCCTCGTCCTCCCCCTGTACCTGAGGAACTTGTTGAGGTCCCCGTGCTTCATGTACTCGAAGACCATGATGAGCGGGTCGCCCTCCACGCAGACGCCGTAGAACTTCACGATGTGCTCGTGCTGGAGGTTGGTCAGCAGCTCGGCCTCGCGGTGGAAGTCCTTGCGTGCGTTGTCGCTGGCATCCTTCAGTGTCTGGGGATGGGGGCAGAGAGGGAGAAAACCAACACCTCTTAAACCCAGGACGTCAAAGGGAAGGTTACGTTGAGAAGGAATTACTTCAGGGGTCTCAGGTTCCTAGATGGGAAGGAAATTCATTTCATTTATTACACAAAAGATTGGAAAATGGCCTAATTCCTGAGGAAATAATATTTGTATTAATAATTGAGGAAAAGTCCCTTATGGACATGCAAAGCTTTGCAGTTTATGAAGCGCTTTCACAGATGTTCTCTCATTAAGTGACAGACGAGCTTTTTAGAGTCTTCTTCCCTTTTAGCACTCGTCTGGATCCAGTTAGCACCACAGACTTCTCTCCTATTTTGATGTCTGTTGTACTTTCTAGGATGGTATGTGCAGCTCACCTCTGTTCAAGTCACCTTTTAGAAACTATATAATGGAAATATTCAGTAGAAAGAAGAGCACAGTGAACTCTCATGTACCCATCTTCCAGCTTCGACAGTGATCATTTTGCTGGCTTTATTATGTAACTCTCTAAAAAGCCTTCTTTAACTTGTCCCCCCACACACCGCTGGCTCATGAAACATCCTGCCCAGTGAGCTGCAAGAAGGCCAATCATGCCACCAAGATACGATACCCAGGATCACACCAGCCAGGCTGTGGGGCCTCTAGTTCCCTGCTCAGACCACTCTGCCTCCACTGTGTCAGAGCAGGGCAAAGCGGGCATTTGTTGATGTCACACACATGTGCAGAGCTCCTGTCCTGTGCCAGTCACTGAGTAGGAGCTGTGGTGGCATCAAGAAGACGCTGACACAATCCTGGCTTCAGGCACTTACAGGCAGATAGGAAGATATGTCGCATATACAATTAACTATAATTCAAACTCAAAACAGAACGTCCTTAATGACCTGGCTTCCCTGCGTCTCTGTCCAGCTTGATATCTTGACGGGCCTCTCTTGAAACCTCTGAAGTACCTGCAGCTGCCCAAGTGACCCTGGGCCCCGCCTCCCTGCCCTGCACATGTTTGTCCCTCTGCCTGGAATACTGACTCGGGTGTGGTCACTGGTGTTGGAGGCTGAATAATACCCCCCAAAATTTCCACATCCCAGTCACTGGAACCTATGACTATGTTACCTTACATGGCAAAAGGGACTTTGCAAGTGTGATTAAGTTAAGGATCTTGATGTGAGAGATTATTCTGGATTATCGGTGTGGGCCCAATGTCATCATAAATAAGGGTCTTTATCAGAGAGTGGCAGGAGGATCAAGGGAGAGAAGACGTAAGGGTAGAAGCAGAGGTCAGAGAGGAGAGAAGATGCTATGCTGCTGGCTTTGAAGATGGAAGAAGGGGCCATGAGCCAAGGAATGTGGGTGGCCTCTAAAAGCTGGAAAAGGCAAGGCAATGTTTTTCACCCTAGAACCTCCAAAAGGAGCCAGTCCTGTGGACATCTTGACTTTAGCTTAGTAAAACTGATTGTGGGTGTCTGATGACTGGAACTGTGAGAGAAATAATTTGTGCTGTTTTAAGCAATGAGTTTGTAGTAATTTGTTACAGCAGCCAGAGGAAACTAATATACCTGGCTAACGCCTAGCAGTCCTCTAAGACTGGGCTTTCTGAGAAGTGTTCCCTGACCCCCTTGTTGCTGTCACATCCCCTCTGTCCCCCAGGCTAGGTTGGATGGCCCTCCTAGGAACACCTCATACTTACCTCTATCATATTGCCAGCCACAAGACATTCTAATTGCATATTTACTTGTTTGTCTCTGGTATAGACAGTGAGCTTCTTGACCCAGGGACTGTGCCTTCCACCTCTGCATTGTCAGCACTGGACACAGCACCAGGCACATGGCAGGTATTCAAGAGATGTTTGTGGAATGAAGGATAAAGGCCACAAGAAGCAAACATTGAGAGAAAAGAGGAATTTAGAGAGGGTGCCGTTGCTTCAGTTGAGGGGTGAGGAGGAGGGAAGCCCAGAGGACCCCTCCAGGTAGAGGCAGCATGTGGGTATGTGAATCCCTTCTCCAAGGAGACTGCAATCAGTCATTATCAAAGTTAGACAGCAAATGTGAACATCCATCTTCACTTAAACTGGTCGTTGGAACAGAATGAAAGTACAGTCATCCATCAGATGTGCACTGAGTATAAGACCAACACTGTGTCCAGTATCAAAGAACACTGCCAGGTCCCTGAGGTCATTTTGTAGCTTGCTGCTTTGACTCTGTTCTTGCTGTGGGGATACTTCTGACCTGGACAACTTATAGACCTCAGGATGTGTCACAGGTCAAGTTCCTGGGGAGCAGACTCTGAGATGGAGATTGGTAGGTGAGACATTTATTAGAGCATGCTCTCAGTATTAATACCTATGGGAGGGGTCGGGCAAAGGGTGAAGATGATGGTGCAGTCCAACAGAGCCTCAGCTGCCCTACAGGATGACCCTTCAGACTTGTCTTGAGTTGGCCCAAGGGGGCTGAGCCTTTGAAGTTCCTTATCAATCAGTCATCAGATGGTGGACACCCCAGGAAGGGAATGTGACCTTGAGTGGACTTGCTAAACCCTCATAGGGAGCTGGCAGCTGAGGACTGTCTGTTGCAGCTTTCCCAGCAACTAGGGGAGCAAGTCTTTCGTTCTCAAGGGGGCCAGGTGGTTCATCATCAAGCCCACCTCAGGATGAAATTTCGGTGTGCAGTTTACCACGCCCAGGGCTGCCCTCCACACAGAAGGGCACCACTGGATATGCAGGGCCTGTTTCATATCAGCGACAAGGAAACATTATGATGGCAGAGGCAGCAGCAAGATCCCAAAGTATTTTTTTTTTTTCGAGGAAGATTGACCCTGAGCTAACATCTGTTGCCAATCTTCCTCTTTTTTTCTTTTTTCTCGCCAAAGCCGCAGCACATAGTTCTATATCCTAGTTGTAGGTCCTTCTAGTTCTTCTATGTGGGACGCCACCTCAGCATGGCTTGATGAGCAGTGAGTAGGTCAGCGCTCAGGATCCCAACCGGTGAACCCCGGGCCACCGAAGCGGAATGTGCGAACTTAACCGCTACGCCACTGGGCTGGGCCCCCAAAATCTTTTCTGCTACAATCATCACAGGATCTAGCATTTTCACTAACTGCCTTTAGCATTTGAAGCCTTGTCCCCAGTGGTGACCTGACCCAAAGAGACAGAAATTATAGGTGTAGTTTTCTTTAGGCAGTTGCTTCTTACAGCAGATAGTGGAGATACCATTTGAGCAAAGGGTCTGGTGATGGAGTTCCCCATTCTCACTTTAGTACTTCGTTTTTCAGAGAAGTGTCTTTAAAATCACCATCAGTTCTGCTTTGAAAAGTGAGCAGATGTGGGTCAGCAAGTGCTCAGACAGGCTGTAAAGCTTTGACAGGGCCGTTGCCATGGAAATCGCACATTTCTTCATTTAATAGCAAAATGAACAGTGGCCAAGAACCTGGGGTCTGGGGCTCTGCTCCCTTAAAGCTCTGGAAACTGGGCTTGTACCCATCCAAACTAAACTCCTTCATCTGTGATGCACAGGGAGGAGTGAAGTGCTTGTCTTGACGATTTGTTTAGGTTGGTTTTATCCGTTGGCATGCTTTTAGCTGTTTTTAAATCCAACCACTGTTTTGCTTTGTTGAACTTCCAAGTAGAAAAAGAGCAGATGAGGCAAGGACACGGGCATGGAGGAGGTGGAAGTCGTCATCAGCTGGGTCCTTCCTCTGGCTCACGGAGCAAAACACACCTATCCGAGCACTTCTCACACTTGGACTTACATTATGGTTTTGAGTTCATGTCTGTCTCCACTACTTCCTTTGACAGTAGAAGTGTGTTGAGTTCACCTGTTTATCACTGGCTGCCTAACGCAGCGTCAGGCAACTAAAAGAACTCCTGTCTTGTGAGGTTTGTGGAAACTAGAGATAAAAGAGCACTGGAAAGGAATGAAAAGTGAGTGTTCATCTGGAAGGGTGGAACATGGGCCCAAGTAAGGAAGAGAAATGAAGAAGGACGAGGAAGAGAAAGCAGGTGGGAGAATGCAGTGTTGACGGGGAGGACTTCCCAATGCCATCTCTCCTGGAAAGCTGGCCCAAACATTTGTGTTCTCCTTCCAGTCAAAGGGCAAATCCTCACAATGTTGGTACTCAAGTGGAAGGAGTTCTAGCTTAGAATCAAAAGATCTGGGTTCAAATTCTAGCTCTGCTCTGGACTTCGCTAAACTCTAATTTTCTCCTCTGGAGAGTGAGGGTAACAATATCAACTACTTCACAGGGTCACGGGGAGGATTGGCTGAGATACTGTAAGTTGGGATGCTTCCCAGAGTCCCTGGTAGATGGTGAAATGTGGGTGATTTGAATTCAAAACCACACCCAAGCCTGCATTCGGTTTGCTCACACAGGATCCAGGAAAGCCAAAAGATGCATGGATAAGGCACAGAGGGAGTCCCAAGACACAAGGGTAATAATGCTCCTGAGGCTGCCACCGGCTCCCTCCTGAAAGCCCTTGAACTGTGCAATGTTTTCTCGGCGATTCAGTCTCTTTATTCAGAAGTTGCTCAGAGTTGCTGGGACAGCTTATCGCTAGGGCCTCAGCCTGTCTCTAACAGTGAGTTGAAGAAGGTGACTTTGGCTTTAGGTCGTTATCACAGAGCATGAACACATTTTGAATGTAACCTTTCTTCTCAAGTTTTAGCCATGTAGTGTTGATTCAAGAATGCTTGATCGTGTGTGTGTGTGTGTGTGTGATAGAGAGAGAGAGAGAGAATGTCAGGCAGCAGGGTAGAGACGTAGAGTGGGAGCAAACACAAGATTTTCTTTTGGGGGAGCACCAAACTGAAAGAGTTAACAAGAATCTAATATTTCCATTTCTCAAAGGTAAAATACTATGGGGGCTGGCCTGGTGGCCTAGTGGTTAAGTTCGCGTGCTCCGCTTCAGCAGCCTGGGGTTCGTAAGTTCGGATCCTGGGTGTGGATCTACATACCGCTCATCAAGCCATGCTGCGGCAATGTCCCATATAAAAAGTAGGGGAAGA